GATGTATTTGAATGGGAAAATCGTTTGGAAATGAATGAACAATTAATTTGTGAGGTGTAACACCCACTTTGGTGTGTTATAACACCCACTTTGGTGTGTTATCTTAGCTCTGTGCTGGATCTGGCTGTTGTGTTTGCAGGGAAAATCCCCAAGCTGTACTCAGAGGTGGAAGTGAGCTCTCAGAGGGATCTGGATCCCAGTGAGAACCCCGGGCCAGTGCCAGAATCTGCTGCCAGAAACCCCAGCACCGTCAGGCCACCCAAGAACAGCAGAGCTGGTGAGTGCTCCCAGGAGGAAAATTTGGATTTGGGGCTGTTTTGGATAAATCTGGCTGATACAGCAAACTCTGGAGTTGTGAAGATGGCGAGGGATTTGTTGGTTCAGGGTTTTTTTTTTTTTTAATTTTTCATCTTGTGGTCCATAATTTAGTGCAACTTGCTGGAGTTGATCTCTGCAATTTTTGGCTGAAGAGAGAAAATGGAGATTTTCTTTCTCTGAGCCAGCAAAGCAGGAAAACACTTTTTAAGTCCTGGAAATGAACCTGTTCTTGCAGTGTAGTACCTGGAGTTTATTAAAGGTGTCAAAAGGCTGCTGATTTATAATGATTTTATCAATCATTATAAATCATTCTGGAGGAGGTGGCAGCTCCAGGACCTTGATGTGCTCAAATAACTCAGGTCCTGCAGAACTTGAATCCATCATTCACAAGAATTTCTGGTTCTCGTGGCTGCTTCTGTTTGGGTGGGTTTGCATCAGCCGATGGAAATTTTGGTGTTTCTTGCAAGAATCTTTGCAAGGAGAATCTTTGCAAGAGTTTTGCAGAAGAGTCTTGCAAGGAGAATCTTTGCAAGGAAAATCTTGCAAGGAGAATCATCTTTGCAAGGAGAACCTTTGCAAGGAAAATCCTGCAAGACTTGCAAGGGGAATCTTTGCAAGGGGAATGTGTGCAAAGAGAATCTTTGCAAGGAAAATCTTGCAAGGAGAATCATCTTTGCAAGGAGAACCTTTGCAAGGAAAATCTTGCAAGAAGAGTTTTGCCACTGGAACCTTTGCAAGGAGAATCTTTGCAAGGAAAATCTTCACAGAAGACTTGTAAGGGGAATCTGTGCAAAGAGAATCTTTGCAAGAAGAGTCTTGCAGGGAGAACCATCTTTGCAAGGAGAATCATCTTTGCAAGGAGAATCATCTTTGCAAGGGGAATCTTTGCAAGGAAAATCCTGCAAGAAGACTTTTGCAAGGAGAATCTCTGCAAGGAGAATCTTTGCAAGGAGAATCTTTGCAAGAAGGGTCTTGTGAGGAGAATCTGTGCAAAGAGAACCTTTGCAAGAAGACTCTTGCAAGGGGAATCTCTGCAAGGAGAGTTTTGCAAGG